AATTACAAAAATACAGAATTAACCGATTAATTAGCTAATCCTGCTATGAAATATTTCACTAAAAGTTAATAAACTGGATTCAGTCGTCAGCCCACACGTCAAGACACATGCCAGTACTGCCCTCTGTTGGAGTGTGGGACTTATTGCATGTGTTGACAGGTTTCATCATATGTGTGTTGCGCCACAGGATGGTGCATTTTAAACAGATGACAGCAGTGATGAGATTAGGCAGGAGAGTCAGTGTTTACTGGAGTACAAGAAGCAAGAGACATTTTTTCAAGCTTGTGAGCTCTCTGAGGAGTGTAATTGTGTTAAAGAGTGAGATCATGTTCTGATCAATGGCCGCATACTGACACTTGTGTGTTTTCCGAAGGAGCACACAAAAACACAAATATGATATCAGGGATGTTTAATGGAAGCAGGAGTGTCATATTGCAGCAAACATCCCTCTTGTGTTCCCCCCTGTGAACCAGAGAAAGGACATTTTAGAAGGTGAATAACAAGGGAAAGAAATCCTAAATTTGACCAAAGTTCTATATGATTTCCTCCATTTTTGGAGGGTTAATTATGCTACACAGATTTCATTGATCTCATGTTCAGCGGACAAAACTACAACTTGCAGATAATTGCTCCGGGGTACTTTGGGATCAATACTGTACCAACATATCAGGCTGTATTGGAAAGTCTCTGTATGGGTGATTGCTTGCTACATCAATCCGGCTATACCAGAGAGCCATTTCCTAGTTGCTGCCCTGCCCTGCTCCTCTTTGTGTGGAAAGAGTATAGCAGCTACTAATGAGGCAGATATTCTCTCTCTCATTGTGGGAAATGACTGGGAAATTTCAGACATTCTGAACAAAAGGCAACACTCGAGCTAAAAGTTTTTTTAATCATTTTACAGACCAGCCAGAGTGTTTTTTTGGAGGGGTGGGGGTCTATGGATAACCTCTGGGGACCGGAAGGGAAGCTCCTCGCCCTGGATGCAAGATGAGGACTGAGCGATGACCTGCGATGGTAGATGATGGTAAGAGGATGGTGGTCAGAGGATTCTCTTGAGGAGGTGGAGATAGCATAGGTGGGTGGGTAGATGTTTGTTCAGTGGGAATCTGTAGCACTGCGTTGTACTGGTTTCTCTGGGCGGACGTTGGGCGGATGTTTTTTTGGATTACTGGATGTTTTCTGATGGCTAAGAGATTTAAATTTGTTGCTCATTCTTAAAAATACAAAGAGACTTGATCCAGATTTAAAGGTAGGTGTTTGTCTAACTGTTTACTTCTGGTTTTCCAGCAGCTGTTTATGTTTGAGCTGCTGTGGGTGCTTCAGGAGTTAATGCAGCCCTGACTTTATTAGATAGAAAATGTGTTATTCTGTAATGCTAATTTGTTGAAAGAAAAAGCCAACAAGTTCACAATAGTTTTGTCCTTTTAGCATCAGTATGAGTAAAGTGCATTTTCATATATATATCCTGTTAGTTACAGAAAAACAGGATTTTACTGGTTTTTTTTACATCCGTCAACTTTCTGTATTAGAGACCTCAGGGAGACACGTCCCCCCCTCAAGGATCAATTCTTACGTCCACACAGAGTCATCCGCGAGGCCATGCCAGGCAGCCCAGAGAACATCCCCCTGGGAGAGTGCACCCTCTCCCAGTCCAGGGACCAGCTGACGCCCCCGAGCCGCACAGAGAGCACCGTGTTCAGCCTGTCCCGCAGCGAGTCCCTCTGGACCACAGAGCCCGTACGCAGCAAGTGTGAAGTCTTCTGGTTCCCCATCCACCTCATGTCCACCGGGGGCAGCTTCCTGGCGTGCGGCATCATCATCAGCGGCCTGTACTTCGCCGGCCACTGCAGGAAGGTCACCAACTTCCTGGGACCGGCCCTGCTGTCCATTGGGCTGATGGTTTTTGTGGTGGGCGTGGTCCTCATCCCAATCACCAAGGAGAACAGGAAGAGGTCGAATATGAAGAAGCCTCTGAGTTACTACAGGCCTCCTGTGTTCAACCTGTGAAGACGTTTTTTGTCAGAAGACTTTTGTTTGGAAGTCGTTTAAGAAACGAGAAACTTGCCTGGATTGAAATGATCACTTTCAGCATGGGAGCCTCTGTGGAAGCTAATTATTTAAAGACTCTGCGTGGTGACATTTATGTTTGTTTCTCTGATTTACCAGGATTGACAGCACTTATCTCAGTCTCAAGCATGCATGGCAACGTTTGCATCAGTAACCGTGGCTGTTGAAAAAAAACACAAAACAAGGTGAGAGCACAAGGACGACGGTGTGCTTTAGAAAACGTAATTATTCACACACAATTTAGCGAGGTTACTAGAAAGCAAACTGTCCTTATGAATATTTATGAGGGAAAAGTGGACAAGGGGGACTTCCTAATGCTGTGTGGTATGGTATATGCCAATTCATGAATAATTAAAGGTTGTGAGAGCTTATAATTGTCAGTTCCCGGTTTACTTTGTCTTGCTGCATCCACTGAAGTCCTTAGTGAGGAAGTGAGTCACTGAAGGAGACTTTGAATCCGAATGCATTCATCAACAAACATATGTAAAAGGAGAGAATTTGACTACCGTGACCTAGAAGCACATTTTCATAGGATTTAAATGTTATTTGGCAGGACATTTTAATTAACCCCTTCAGCCCCAGCGTTCAGCATAATGGAAATTAAATATTCATTACTCTCAGCCTTTGAAAATGCACTTTAAAATTAGACTATGGCCTAAGTAGATTGTATTTAAAGCAGCTATAATCAATATGGAATGGATCAAATGACTACATGCATGTCATATTCAAATAAGCTTTATTGGCATAAAGTTAACTAAACATTATTTCTAAATTAGAAACTGATGAATAATAACATTTTACACAAGAAAACAAAACAGTTAATCAGAATTACATCTGAAAGGAATCGCTCACAGTGACAAAACCCACACAGTGATTCTGCGGTTTGGCTCGGCTCTATAGAACTTAAAGCCTCTCCCAGCTCTACTGTTTTGATTTACTCTCACTGTTTTTATCAGCGTCGGTTTTGTCTGAAGATGCTGTTTTCAGTTAAAAAGCACTAAAACCAACTGTACTGACCAACTGTGAAACTCTGAAAATACTCTACGACAAGTAAAAGTCCACAATTCAGAACCTTATTTAGGTAAAAGTATGTATTATCATTAAATTGTACTTAAAGTATCAAAAGTAAAAGTAGTCATATGGCAGGTAAATGGTCCCTGACAGTGTTTTACTATTATATATGATGTTTTTGGACTAATATTACTGCTGCAAATAATGTTTATGTTGCATTTTACTGCTGCAGATGTTAAAGGTTGAGCTCATTCTACTGCTAGGTGGTTTAATCTACAGCAATGCATCATATTATATAAGATCAACATATGTTTGTAGTGTGACTGTTTTCAACTTGGTGACGATGCATTTTCCAGCTAATGCAATATCTGAAAGATGTAATCAGGCAACTTAAGAGGTGCTAATGTGTCGGTGTTGGTTACAGCTTGTCTAACCTACAAATTGTATTTTACATATACACTGCAAGGTGACAGCATAAGATGCACAAAACTAGCAACTTTTTCACCTTAAAAGTTCATTTACCTCAAGAAACATTCCTGAATAAATACTTTTAACTCTTACTTGATCAAGAATGTTTTTTTAAACCTACAAAATTAAGTTAGTTTTACTTAAAATGTTCAATGTAATCTGTTTCACACATTTTTTTGAGTTAAATTAACTCATCTGGTTTTACAGTTTGGATGTAATATTAACATACTAAACTAATCATATATATAAATGTGAATTATTTCATGTCCAGCCCCATGGACAGGTCTGGAATCAATGTTCATAAAACAGTGATCATCTTCAGTTTTTGAAGTTAGCACAATCATTACAGTGTATTATGTTTTTTTTATATTAAATTAATATTAAAAATATGAAGATAATTCCTTTATTTTGCATTTTATAAGTCTGCAGAGGTCTTTTATTATACAGTCCACTACAGTGCATCTGAGAATCCTCCAGATGAAGTCCCTCAACCTCTTTACTTAACGTTATTAAGTGCAGACGGAGATATTCGACCTGATGGCAGACAGCAGTAACGTGTGCTCTGTGGTTGGGTTGCAAGAAATCTGCTTAGAAGACATCCGAACCGTAACAGACCCAGTTCTTCTTCTTCAGATGTCAAACTGAATATCGCTGTGATTTGCTGGTCAGAAACAAACAAGACATCTCAACTTGGGTTTTGGGGCAGTGGTTCCCAAACCTTTTCCTTAAGGGACCACTTTTCTATCACTGAGTCGACCTCTTGACGACCTCTAATTAACTACATATTTTATGTTTATTTCATATTATATTCAAAAGTCAACGCTGTAACTGGCAGGAAGTTTGTGTAA